GAAGCCGGGTATCACAATGGCGGTGACCCCAGCACGCAGGAGGCAGAGGCAAAAGGATCGGGAGGTCAAAGCTAGCCTGGACTACATACGTGTTGTTTTTACTAGTCTCAGAAGTAAACACTAACAGGGACGTTTGGAAGCTCCGGGAGGACAGCGCACACTGGTTAGTGGAGGACATTCAGTCTGCTCTCCCGTTACAAACGGACACTTCCCGCCGCGACCTCCGCTGTGTTTGTCCTTCGTGTTCTGCCTCCTTCTAGCACACTGTAAACTCGAAAAGCAAAGTTGCCAACACTATAAATAAGTCAAACCAAGCCTAAACAACTTCCCTTCATAAACACAGCAAAGAAAAAGCGATGCTGGCAAACAGAAAAGGATGCCAAACACTCTTTTCACACCAGCCTTGACATAAAATAACGTGTGTGTGTGTGTGTGTGTGATCGTAACACGCGTGAAGATCACAATTAAAAGTTTCTCTAAGCTCACTTCACACTAACTCCTTTGCTGCCTCCTGCCCTGGCGGCAGGGACAAGCACACAGGGGACGGCTGAGGAGTCGCTCGAGACCCGGTGCAGCGCCGTGGAGCCCGTCGCCGAGCTCAGGGCGTGGCAGAGGCTCCAGCTCCACGCCTGTTGCGCGGTGCTGACCACCCATGTACAACCGTGTTGCCCATAATACCGACCACGAGGAAGTCCTGGCCGCTTGATTCTTGCCCATTAGAAGGGAATTTTCGAGTCACTTGCGTTTCCACAGTTCTGTTTTCCTTCCCTTGGACGGACTGACCTTCGACGCCCTTCATCAAGTTTTGCTGCTTTCGAGGTGTGTGTTGCACACTGGTGCGGCCGCGCCGATGGCAGGATACACACAATACACAGTGTGTGAGCAGAGCACACGCCAGGCAACTCCAGAGCAACAAACTCAAGTCCCAAAGAAACCAGTGGTTAGTACCGGCACAGAATAACATCTCGTGGAAGAGATTTACACACACCCCTGTATTAATACCTTCCCGAACTGACGGTGCTCCGGGAACTGACGGTGCTCCTGGAACTGTCGGTGCTCTCATCAGGAGCATGCCGAGGGCTACAGTGCACAAGGGAGGGGGAGGGGAGAATCGGCTAAGTGACTAAGGGATTGACTGACAGAGAAAAGAAAGCAGCAAACTGCCAGCGACCCTGAGACCTCCTCCAGGCTCACCAAAAGGAGTGAGAGCTGGTACGGCCTTGAAGCCGCAGCTGCCGAGCTCTGTCTGAACCGCAGATGCTGTAAGCCGAGCTGCTGGAGACAGACACCCGAGACCACTCCCCAGAGCCCACGAGCCATCGTGACGGTGATAGGTTTGAGTGCCAGCCAGAAATGCCTGCACCGGGTGGCCCTCTCCTCTAACATGTCCCCGTGTCTCCACCTGGAAGCAGACGTCTCTCTTGCTGGCCCTACACTGAGAAGAACGGATCAGCCCATGACAGCAATTCGCAGGGAACACAGCCCGCCAAAAGCAGAAGCCATTCAGGGCAGAGCAGAAGGAGGCCTCGGACTGCCAGGCCCCCCAAAAGCATCAGCTGCTCCCAGAAATAAAAAGAGCGTTGCCTCTGTGGTGGGCGGTGGGTGTGCGTGACGGGTCGGGGAGAGCTTTCAGCCTTAGTGTGGAGCCAGCCAAGGCTCTGCCGACGCCTTGCGCTGTGCACTGGGCTCAGCCAGGACGGAGCAGGAAGTCAGCCAGCTCTGGGGACCGCGTCTGCCGAGTACTGGGCCCGCTCGCTGTTCCCACCTGCTCTCAGCATAGTTAAAAACACCGAGTTCACCTCCTCCCTCTACAGAAGAAAATGATTCTTCCGGTAAATTCCATACTTGAAATAAATTACTTTCACTAAAAACTTGAAATTTACACTCTCTCCAAATACAGCTCATGCTAAGGGAGCCTTATAACCCTGACACCATCGGACTATTTTAAAATAAGAGTTTAATTTATTTTAAAAATGATCTTGTAGCAAATTTCCTGCTGGGCGGGCATGGGGTGCGTGCCTGTAGGCTCAGCATTCAGAGTGTCTGAGTCTGCACCAGAAACTACAGACCACCACACAGGTAGGGCCAAATGAGAGTCCTTCGTCTGAGGATCCCGAGAACAGGCTCCGGTCACGGAGAACTGTCAGCCCAGTGCACGCTGACAGCGGGCCACAGCCCAGCAAGGAACGAGGGGCTGCAACTGTGGAACAGCCTGAAGCATGGCTCCTCAGAAAAAGGGGGAAGTCGTGTCTCCTGTCAGGGGTGGCTCTGGGGGAGGTGAAGGCAGAGCTACCATTCAAGGAGGGCCTGCTCTGGGTCCTGAGCCTCAGGCAGCCTTTGCTGCGTAAACCCCTGTCTATCTCAACAACCACAAAAATATCAACAAAGATGTAAATTGTTCAGCATTTCCCTCATCCCTACGGCAAACACCACCACTCAACAACCTTCCCAACGAATCCTGTCCTTCTCCGGGAGAAAAAAAAATGCTGACGTGATAACTTCCCGTCTCCAGAACTATAGAATTCACCCGCTCCTCTGCAGCCCAATCACCAAAGGGTACAGGGCCAAGCAAAAATGCAGTAACACCCTGTGCTGAAGAGACTCAAGAGGCCAGGGAGACACGTGGGGCACCCACAGGCCTAAGATCATAAACGGGATCAGGTAAGCCTGAAGACAGCTCCCTGGACACGAAGAGGTGTAAAGCTCTTTGACAGTAAATGAATGCAGGGCCAGTGACGCAGCGTGGTGGGTGTGCAACTCGTTATCACACCCGACAACTTAGTTCAATCCACTGGAGCCACACGGTGGGAGGAGAGAACGGACTCTCACGTTGTCCTCTGCTGTCCACACTCTACACACACACAAAATAAATAGAATGAATAGACATTTTCATATAATGGTTTGGATTGTGCTCTTGGATTTGATGGCTGTGGCTGTCGCGGTTCATCGCTCTCCACACTGAAAACAATGCCTGGCGTGCACAGCAGGGGCAAAGCCTGAGGTGTGAATACCAGAGGTTACACTAAAACAGAAGACGCCACGGCCTCGCTCCCTGCTTCCAAGGACAGGTTCAAACCCCACACCACCCCGCTTTCCAGAGACCCACCCAATCACACATGGCACTCAGGGCACAAAACATCCTAACCAAAGGCAGCTTGGGTGAAGACACGGTTTACTTGGCTCACACCTCAAGGTGGGGGAAGAGACAGTTTACTTGGCTCACACCTCAAGGTGGGGCCAGGACCCAGAGCAGACCCTGCAGGAACTGCCCGCCACTCCCTTGAGGGCTGAGCCCAGCCACACTTTTTCTGCCGCCCTGGGCAAGGGGTCCCCTCACACCAGCTGGGTCCCCCCACATCAGTTAATAATTAAGACAATTCCCCACACACTTGCCGATCTGACCCGAGCGGCTCCTCAGTTCAGTCTTCCATCTGAGGCTGACTCTGTATCTCACTGACCGGTGACGCATCCCTCAACCCGCAGACAAGGGTTAGGCCATGGGGCCTGCCACTCAGAGGAAGGCTAGGATGTGGGGCCTGGCACTCAAAGGAAGGGCTAGGATGTGGGGCCTGGCGCTCAGAGGAAGAAGAGGGCTACAGGCATCCGTTTCCCTGTTCCTAGTGTGTGGTACAAATGCTTTTTGGTCCTGATAGACAACCCGACATGTGACTTTCAGGCTAACAGGGAAAGCAAAAACAGAGATGCAATGCTGTCCCCAGAGCCAGGCGCCTCAGGAGGCAGGCTCTTGTCGCCTCCCCGGACACAGCGGCTTTACCCAATCACATCTCCCAAAAGTACAAGCAGAGTCTTCAAAACCAATTTCAATAACGATAACTTCACACTCAAATACGTGGCACAGCCTTCCTTCCCCAAGAGGGAAAGTCCATCCTGGCGCACGGCGTCCTGCCCATTGAGGCTGTGCCCTGCTTGGCAGCGCTGGTGGCCTGGGAGGAGAAGCAGAACGCAGTCTGCGGGCACTGGTCGCCTGGCTCTCCCCAGCCCTCATGTGCAGACCCATGGATGACTGCATGAATCGCTCCAAGACCAGCCGGTCCTGAGGCACCAAGTCCTCACCAGGACTCAAAGCCTGACGAGCAGCAAAGCCCAGGTCTGAGTGACACAGCCCAGGGTCAGCCCTGCCTCCAACACATGCTCGCTTTGAGTGTGGACAAGGTTTGTGCCTTCGAAGAACCCAGTGTTCTCCAGTCACGGGAACGTAACATCACCCTCAACAGCCTCTGTGAGAGAAATGAGGTAAACAGCAGGATAGGCACAACTCCCACCACCCAGTAACAAGCTTGTGTCAGCTTCCCAGTGAACCTGCTTTGCTGGTGTCAGGGGCTAACAGTGGATTGAAACAGCAGTTGGCTAATTCTTTAGGAATCTTGAAAGACAGATATTAAGGACAGCCATCATTAAAGCTAAAGTTATATAAATTTAAACAAACTGCATCAAAAACTCCGGGCATTTTTAGTTAGACTACACAGCAAACTGGGCTCTTGAGAGGCCAAGAGTCTGTTTGATCTCAGTTACTCCAAGCCCAGTGAGGTCACACCACATCTGCCCACACAAGGACCTGCACCCCACAGACAAAATTTAAAATAAAAATGCAGAAAATCCCGACATTCTTCTACTTAACCTCTTTCCTCCTGTGATGTCACCGCCAGGTCCACTGTATTCTTTTTCTTATGGTTGATTCCAATCCATTCCTACACACCTCCTACTCATTTATCTCACAAACACTTAAATAACTGTTAGGCAAAGACGACACTCAGAACCTGAGTTCAGCTGCCGGCAACACAGAGCAAGTTTCCACCCGTAAGAGGTTCCAGCACTCAAACTACTTTCCCAGCCCATCCTGAAAGTCCCCAAGCCAGGACCCTTGAGGGGAGGAAGGGTGCTCGAAGAGCTGGCCCAACATTCAGCTCTGCAGATAGCACGGGCGGCAGCCCTGGGCACCAGCCCTGGGCACCAGAAAGAAATACGACCCAGCTCCATACCTCATCAAGGACCACAGCGCCCATGGGGACACAGGAAGCGCCCTGCCCCGGGGCGGGGCTGGCAGCGGTGAGTGGCAGGCTCCCCAAGAATCTCTGGGTGGGACGCGCTGCTTTCTGCTCTCCCGGTGAGAGGCGGGCTGGGGGCTCCCGGGCCGCCCCAGGCTGTGCTGACAGGTCACCCCATTGCTCCTACAGCTCACAAAATTGAGAAGAGAACAGGTCAGACGCAATGACAAGGACTGTAACAAGAGCAGCCATCCCCTGCCCCCTCGCTAAGGCCCCTGAAAGGGTGTGTTCTTCAGTCCCGAGCCCCATTTCTGCTGCTTACAACTCTCTATTCTCAAAAGCAGAGCCGCATTGCCAGGTTTGTTCAGCTTATTTTGACTGGCACATAGTCATTGTGCAAGCTGCTGGGTTTCATGGGGATATTTGCATGTAAGCGTATGACGTACTTTAACCATATTCCTCCAAACACTTTCCTCTCCACTTACCCCCACTTTATTTGCATGACAGCCTGCCTTCTACTCTCACATCCTATATACCTACCTACCTACAGACAGACATTCCTACCTACCTACCTACCTACATACGCAACTATATAACCCAGAAATGCGAGGAAAATATGTGATAAGTGTCTTTCTGATTTAATTCACCATACATGGATCTTCATTTCCTCCTTTGTGGCTGCATCCCATTGTCTATAAATGCCACATTTGCTTTATAGAGATGAACACTGAGGCGGATCCCACACCTAGCTGCTGTAGCTAAGACGGCAACAGAGATCCAAGTTCATGTCTCTCTGGAATGCTGACTTGAAGTCTTTTGGATAAATATCAGAAATGCTATAGCTGGGTCACGTGGCTGATATTTGTTTATTCGTTTGTTTGTTTGTTTGTTTGTTTGAGTAGCCTCCACAACAATGCCCACAGTGGCCATGCTAATCTGCATTCCCTCCAGTGGGGTGTAAGTATTCCCTTGGATCCAACCTCGTCAGCACCTGTTGTCCCTCTTCTTCATGACTACATGTAAAGCTGTGGAGAACGGTGGATCTGGTCAGGGAGGAAACTTTAGCGTCTGAATTTCTGCTATGCCCTAGTCACTCCCCACCACAAGCCACACAGATGCACCATTACAGGGTGGAGGAGAACGGGGCTCCCAGCAGGCTTCCTGTCCGACCCGTGAGTGAGTGGTCACGACCAGCCAGGACAGGCTCCAGGCAGCCTCCTGAGGCTCTTCGGTCAGAGGACTAGAGCAGGCAGACAGGCTTCAGCTCCCGGGGTTCAGGGCAGCCAGAACATGCGGACTCAGCATGGGCTGTTAATGCCCGCCATTCGCAACATGACTGTCTTTGTGAAGCAGATGCCCTCAGCAGCGCACACTCACAGGAGCTGCAGACTGGCTGTGGACTGGGCTGCTCCCATGCCAGCTGGGACACACTTAGAAACCGAGAGCCAGAAGCTACTTTTGTCAGGTTTGGCAGAAAAGGAAAAGTAACACACGACAGCAAAGGTGGGAAATGACTCACAGCTCGTCCTGCCTGCGGGAGGGGGAGAAGAGGTCATAGAGCAGGCACACGCCAAACACGGTGACGCCCGTCTCCTTCACCAGCATGGCACAGGTCCCCAGGAGCAGACTGAGCAGCAGGAAGAAGGGCGAGGCCGTGGCGGGGGAGCCTGGGCCCTCGAAGCTCCGATCCAGACTCCTGCAAGGCAAGCAGGAGTCCTCAGCACTCGGGGCGCTGCAGAATGTCCCCTTCAGAGGAGTGTGTGGCGTGGAACAGGGCAGCGGGCACCAATATCTCCACAGCGTTCACCATGCACCTATTTAAAGCTGACGGCATGGGGCGGGAGCGCTCCTTCTGGGCTGCCAAAGGGAGGGTTCGGTTCCCAGGACCCCTCAGCCAGCCCAGGACCTCCTGCAGCTGCAGCTCAAGAGAGCCCTCCCCTTCTGGGAGTCCCCTCAGGAACAAACACCAATGTGCACACAGACACTCAGAGATTCACGTACACACTTTTAAAATCCTTAAAAATGTTTCAATAGATAAAAGTCCAAAAATATCAGCTTAAAATACAGTATGCAAATCAGGATACGATGTGGTTTGTAATGAATAAATGCCAAAAAGTCATTTAAAGCTCTAAGGTGAGGACAGACTTGGTATACAGGAGGATGTTCAGTGATTAGAACACACATTACTAACAAACGCGCATGGACGGAGAAGCCGGATTCCCTGGCACAAGCACAGATGTCTGCTAGCAAGCAGGATTCCATACTGTAGAAACGGGGAATAGTGGGTAGCAAGGACTAGGTAAGTGACGGGAAGCTGAGGGCTACCCACTATGGGAGCCGGGAGCCAGCTCCGGTCCTCTGCAGAAGAACACGCTCTCAACTACTGAGCCATCATCTCCAAGCCTGGCAATCTTTACTTTTATCACAATTTCCTACAGGAATGTCAACATGTTTCAGGGTTACTTTCCAAACTGTAATGCTAACCAGGCCTAGGAAACATCAGCACTTCCTTGGACGCCGGCACGGCCAGCTTCCTGCCCCTGGAAGCGAAGGACAAGCCCTGTCTGTGACAGCTCCTACGCACCGCGTCTCGGAACAGCTAGAACTGCACGCACAGTCGACGGCAGACGCGACTTTTCCATAGAGCTGGCCACCAACCACACCAACCACACTCGGCCAGCAAAGCCCCCGCTGCACACGCACGGGACCTCAGCTCAGTTCCCCACGACAGACCACCAAAGGTGTGGACGCCGTGTCTGTAATCCTGGGAGTGGAGCCACACATGCTCACACACACAAGCTCACACACACGCTCTCTCTCTCACACACACACACAGGCACACAAGCACGCGTGCGCACTCGAGTGTACACACAGATTCACACATACACATGCACGCACACTCACTCACACACACACACACACACACACACACACGATATTAAATGCTTCACAGTGGGGCTAGAAGATAACAGTTGGACACTGGGTAAAAAGGGGCTTTTGCCCCTGACACCCGCACTGAGAACGCTGCGCCCAGAGCCTGGGCACTCGGGGTGGGTGCACACTGGCAGTGTGCAGAGCCCCGGAGGGTGCGAGGGCCCACTCACCTGTGGTAGGAGAGGAAGGCCAGCAGGAACAGGAGGCACGCCAGCACATCCGCTCTGCCCACGATGCCAGCCACCTAGAGAGCGCAACACAATGACAAAGTGTGAGCCTTGAACACTCATGTCTCGGCGTCTTAGGAAACGCACCTGGTTTGGGGCCAGCACAGCAGAGAGCGCCCAGACAGCAAGCTGGGACCACGTGCCTCTGTGCATCACACACATTCACACTTGCAGAGAGAGAGAGAAAGGGAGGGGTGGAATGTCCACACTTAACCTGTTTCTCGTTTCTCTTCCACAGATGACCATCTCAACCAGCAACTGTTAAACACGCTGTAAGGCTGTGGGCACAGCCGGGCAAGCGCAGGGCTCAGTGTGCAACGCCCAGGCTCCCGGCTCAATAAACTGCCAAGCCCTGAGTGCCGGGCACTGTGCCCGCCTCTGGGTGTGGCCGGTGATGGCCCCTGGAGCATTTACACGGCGGAGGGAACCAGAAGCAACAACGAGGGGACCCCTGACTGCTGGCAGCTACAAGCGCGAGCACTCGCGTGTGTGTGTGCTCACAAGGCCGGCGTGTGTGCCTGCATGTGCGCACCTGTGGTTTCAGTCTGTCAGTGCCCCACAACCCCGTCCCATCTCAGACAGCGCCGGCTGGAAGGAGGCTGGGAGACGCGAGCGCAGGGGGAGCTTCTCGGCACAGCCGCTCAGAAATGCTCATCAAAAGTAAAACAAAAACCTGAAGGAAAGGGGCTCCGGAACAGACCCGGAAACCCTGGCTAAACCTGCAAGGAGCACAGTGCACTCTAAACCACTAACGGCACGAAAACCACACTCACATGGAGGACACCCGGGTCACGCGTGCACAGACACAGCAGCGAGCACCCGAGTGAGCACGGGGAGATGGCTCGGCTGGCCGCCGTGGGTGTGCTGGACAGAGAAGAGAAGGAGCGGGGGACAGAGGAGGAGCACGGAGCACCCTCGGGCCAGGGAGGCCCGGCCTCTGCACGGCAGCCGCAACCGGAGCTGACAGCGGCGCCAGGACGGGCGTCCTCCCGCCTCAACTTCTCACAACTCAATTTCCAGAAACACAAAGAAGACACAGACAAGGTGTGTTGAGACAGCATCTCCTTCTCCCGGGAAATCAGAAGGAAGATTGTTTCCCCGAGATGCCGCTTCACACGCCCGCTCCTCGCTAAGGCCGTGTGAGCTACCCACGAGCATGGGGAAAATCAGACAACTCACAGCGAGAACAGCCACAAGAATGGGGATGTGCAGACCTTCTAAACACAAATACACACTTTAAATTACAGCGTGTCCATGCACACTGAGACCTTCTGTCTGGGCCACACTTCAGTTTTACTCGTCATAACGTCTGTGTTTCTACGCACAGTTTACAATAGGAAACCAGAAGCTTACCGTCCCCGTGTGTAACGAGTGCATTATATACCAACACTGATATTGAACTTATGCATTTAAAATATGCATTATTTATTTCCATACAGTATATATTATTTTCATTCTCCAGTCATAAATTTTAATGTACCATGCCTCTAAGAAGTATGTGTTACACATTATATAATATGTATTTAGATAACCTTTATACATTGCATTCAAATATCTTCAAAACTTTATACTATGTGCGCTTTGATATAAGCTCCACACCAGACTGAAATGTGTATCATGCAGCAGAAGGCCAGCGTTCAGGACTGAATGAGAGCGAAGCCGTGCGCCGCGCTGTCCGCGTTGGAAATGCACACTTGAATTATTGATGTGAAGGAGCGTGCATTGTGCAGGCCCCTCCGGCCGCCTCAGAAGACAGTGTCTTCATACAGCGGGGAGAGGATGACAGAACAAAAGCAGAGAGTGAGAAATCGGCGAGTCCTGGTAGGACCATAGCAGCCGTGTGAGGGGGGCTGCGGCGGGCACGGGGG